CTGCTTTGCTTTCTGTCAAAAGGGTGGTATCATCTGCATATCTTATATTATTAATAGTTTCGCCTCCAATCTTGATACCAATNTGAATAAATCTTTAAAATTGTAATTAAGATTATTATTGTATTTTACAAAACAATCAGAAGTTTAATGTAATTTAATATTTTTCAGGAATTTACATGGAAATCAAATGATATAATTGTTCGTGGTTCACAATGCCGATTTCCACAAAATAATCCACGTAAGCCATTATGAAAGAGTCTTATATTTTTATCATCATCTTCTATCACTTTAATCTTTTTTAATTAGGTTGATTTTTTTCTCACAGCAAACATTCAGGTTTAATGATATATAATTTTTATTGTGGCATGTTTTAAATTTTACATGTGCATTTTGGACTAATGTATTATCTTAGCTTCTCTTCAGTGATATGAGAGAATTACATGAAAATGACTAGAATTGTACAAACCAATGAATATTATGATAAATGACCTTGAGACATGTCCGTTACAAAAAAAAAACTGTTAAGTGTCAATAATGCACGTTGTTCACATCCATTTTTAGATTAAGACAAATCAAATGAATAATCTTTCTTTTTTATTGTAAAGGCAAAAATGCTGTACAAACAGAAAAAAAAAATGTGTGATGTTTATGGTGGGAGTGCTGTACCAGAATCAACTGTTTGAAAGTGGTTTGCAAAATTTAAAGCATGTAATTTCAGCCTTGAAGATGCTCCCCACTCAGGAAGACCTCCCGTTATTGAAGAGGACCAGATCAAAGCATTATTGGATGAAACCCTCATTACACAACTCGACATAGTGAAGTCATCAAACTGTACTGTATTTCAACATCTAAAGAAGCTCAGATATGTGAATCATTACGACATTTGGATACCTCATGACTTAAGAGAAAAGAACTTACTGGATCGCATCTCCATTTGTGATTCTCTTGAAAGACAAAATGAAAATGATCCTTTTCTGAAGTGTTTAGTGACAAGTGATGAAAAGTAGATTGTTTATAACATCAGCCAAAAATGATCATGGGGTAAGAAAAATGGGGTAAGAAAAAGAAGAGTTCCAACTAAAAAGTGTGCGATCTAGCTAGCTTCTTCAGCCTCTTGTTCAGAAAAGAAAAATTTGTACTTTGATCAATTAGTCTGACTCATTCAGAAAAATAGAATATTTATTTAGAGCAGGGATAATAAAGGAATGATTCAAAAATATTCAAATTCAATTGGGTCAAAATAATTTAACTACTAAACACAAATACTACAAAGAATACTACATATTTAATAAATTAAATTGATGCATTTTGTATTTAAAATAAATGAATTATAACAAAATACAAAAAGATTTTAAAAAATTAATAAATATATAATAAATTTTCTTTCATTTAAATAAAAAAACTAAAGTAAATTTAAAATGAGGGAGTCGGAGTCGACACATTTTTTCCGACTCAGACTTCTCTGGCTAGAAATTCCTCCCGACTCCGACTCAGTAGCCCTGGTTGTGATATATAACATCGCGTAGTATAAGTAATACTAGCAAATAACGGATTTTATCTTTCCAGAGATGTCATTTTAGCATTTTGAATGATTTGAGAATGTGAGTGATTTTAAATAAGTCTATCACTAAATCGAATTTCGTATGCCAAATTTACACTTTACAGTAGTACGTTTTCAGCAAGGAAATTTCCAGATATCATACAGGGTATTAGCTGACAGTTTATGTTTCGGAAACAACAAAATTATAGTAAAAATTAATTTTTATCGTCTGTTTTCTGTTACTTGTTTGACAATCTAATACATTGTAATATACTTTTTATAAAATACGAAAATAAAATTTTTTTACCTTAATAAGAAATTTTTTGTTTTTAGTTCTCTGACTTTTGAGGATAAAACTTCCAGTACCTAGGAATGGTAGTAGCCCTATCAATTCCAATGACTGAAAAAAAACCTGAGACCCAAATGTTACATCGTCTGAAGAATCAGTTAAAACAACTAAAGATTTAATGAGAAGACTATAGGAAACAGATACTGACTATAAGGTTACATAACCCATGTAACTTAATCATAATCTTTATCAGTATCTGCTTCCAGAAAACTTTATAGAAATCAAACATACATTTAAAAAAATACTATGAATAAGAAATTAAATAGAAAATGTAGTAGGCCCTGGATCTAACAGCCTTTGATATTAAAATGTTATAGGTGTATACTGTAATGTATACATGAATATATTAAATAATTTATACTCATTGATCCAACTTTTAGCGTGTTCTATCAGCGAATGAAAAAAGTTAAAAATTTGTTCTAAAAGGAAATTAATTTGTTGGTTAAACCGAGTCTACTGTAATCTCGAAGAGGCATCAAACCAAGTTTAATTAATGAATAAGAATTTATTTTATTCAAGAATCTATGATAAAATGAATGGAGTCTCTAAAAATTATATAAAGTTTATAAATAGCCAGTTTTCAGACACATTTTTCAGGATATTTAAATTTTTGTACTAACGAGTAAGATACAATCCATTTTCGTCAAATAAATCATTGCTTTTTTTAAGTTGTAAACATTTTAAATGATTTAATCTTGATATTAAAATATCAAATTTCATTTTATGTTAGTCTTCACATGCTACTATTATTTTAAAATTAAAAGTATAAAGGAAATATTCGATAATTTTTAGGTTAGGTTAGGTTATACAGTAGAGGATCGATTATCCGACTCCCGATTAACTGTCACATCAGTTAACCGACCGTTCTAGTCGTCAAATTTCAAATGTCTGCTAGTGATGTGGCACTACAATATTTGGCTAAGTCTTGGCTACTTTAATATTATTTTTGTTAAATTTTTGCGTGTTTTAGCTGGCAGCACTGGCTCAACCATGAAAGGGAGGCCAATATTTAAACGAGACTTAATTTTCTAATTATGAGTGGTTGTTTGTTTTCTGAGTAATAAAATAATTTAAAAATAATTTTTAACGATACAATAGCGACGATTATTATTTAAAATAAAAAAAAAATTGTTAGGCTTAACATCGATGAAAATTCAACGCAAAGTTCGTTAATAGCGATATACTAATATACTATACCAATAATGTATTTATTTCATTCTTTTCGGTTATCCGATTTTTTCAGTTATCCGACCAACCCGAGTCCCCAAATGAGTCGGATAATCGATGCTCTACTGTATATATCCAAAAAACAACATGCGAATAAAGATGATCTAGACATTACAAAATAATATTTCTTTATTAGAATATTTATTGACATAATAAGAGAAACGAAACACAATCATGATGAACGATGCGAAGAATATTTCAGACCCAGCCAAGATAATCATCATTATCTTCCAGCTTTTCCGTTCTATATAAGAAAGTTTAAATTCTGGTAAACCTTTATTCCGTTGTTGTTTGGTAATAGGAGCAATCTTATTTCTTTTTACATAACTAAATATTACAGCGACAACAAGTAGAGGAAGACAAAAAATAAGTTTCAATACGATATGATCCGATCCAACAATTGAAAACAGAAATGAATAAGGAAAAAAATATTTCAAGCTTGGAATAATTTAGTTAAATATCAGAATAAATTGTATTCAAAACAGGCATTCGATGAAATTCACGTAAACATTAAATACAAAAAACACAAAAAATAATGCATATTTCATTCCTGTAACGTATTTCAATTCATATATTTTCCTCTGAAATAAGTTACGACTCTATGGCTAACAGGAAAAGTATGATGTACAGGGCACTATTAATTTGAGGTAGAGAGCATATATTTGAAATGAAATACATTAAAAATATCATTAAAATCATATCCCGGCATTAAATTAAATAAAATTACAGCCCAGTATTATGACGATGTCACATAACTATATGTTCGTTACATTATATTTTCTAATTAAAGTTCATATATTTACGGTATTATTAAAACTAATAAAACTAAAACGACTATCACATCGAGCTTTGTTACGGAAGTGTTACTGTTAGAACGTTTCTATAAATGTAGCATTGATCAATCTGTTATATCAATATAAAGGCACTTTCTGTATATTCCACCATGCATATTTCATCCCTGAAAATCTTTAATATATTTCTCTGATGACTCACATTTAATAAGACAGATGGTAAACATCAATTAACTTTAATAGTAATTTTCAATGAAGCTTATGATAGACTGATAGTGTATATGTTATGGACAAAGTGATTAATCAAGCATTATTCATAATGCCCGGTCTTTATGAATAATGACCAAAAAAGAATAAATCATTCAAAATTTCAAGGGTTGCCGACAGGATTTGCCTATAGGGAAAACGCCAGAAGATTAAAATTCTGCGAAACAGCTGTTTGTTAATTTTACACAAGTCCATGTCTATTCATAATGTATTACTTTTTCGAATTCAAAGTTTTATTTCTTCAATTATTACTTGCTTACATAGCTTGTAATGTGATACTATTTTCCAGGAACTGAGTATTTTGGGACTGTTCAACCATTATTACCATATAAAATATAGTTCATTGGACACAGAATGAAACAATGAAAACAATGATACCAAAATCATTCCCAAGCAAACAGATAAAATGAACACAGGATATAAGTGAATTTTAATAATTATATCGGTCAAAATATCATTGATATAGATTGATATAGATATAGAAAATCGTTGATATAGATTTATAAATTATCAAAGAAATGTACATTAAATGTAGGCTATGAATATGAGCAAAAATAAATTATCAAATTTTTACAATATCCGAACTAATGTGATCCGAAAATTAGAAAAAAATCGAACAACGAAGTATTAAAAGTAATTATAATTTTTTTTATTTTATCGTGGANTTCCTATCAATATAATTTTATAAAATTAATAAAACAATTTTTAAAAGTTATGTAATTTATATTTATATTCTAATTCGAATACTTTTATCTTATACCAAAATATGTTCAAAACAACGTCAATATAAATTTTATACAATATCATTAAATCAGTATACAAAAACTAATTCAGAAAATAATTTTTAATATTTCAAAACGGATACCAAAGATTATAATAATTCAGTAAAAGTAATATTTGCGACAAAACTTTTTATTTTACAGAAATAGTGTCACACGTACCGCATTTTACAGAGAAACAATATAAAATTCTATGCTCTTATAAACAGAGCAATGGTTTAAAAACATTTCATGCAACATATTTAGATATGTACCCATATTTCAGAAAATTTTAAAGCAAATTCTCATTGCAATACTATTGTCCGAATTCTCCAATTAAATGAATCTCATCTCCTACCAGAATTCGTTATCCACTGTAAAAGATATTTGTCAAAGTAATCACCTTCTTTCATTAATGTAACGTTTGCAGAATGCATCAAGTTCTTTCATGTCTTTCTTGTCTAATAATCGTCGGTCGTTATTTTCACTTAAACTTTCTTCCATGAACCTAACAGTCAATTCTTGTGTTTCCTCTTCCAAGTCCTTTTCCAAAATGATTTCTTTCTCCTGATGTAACAATTGACTTTTTATAAAATTGTATATTTTATTATAAGAAACAGTATCACGAAATGAATCTGTTAACAAAGAAAAAATAATGCCATTAATAAAAATAAAATCAGGTAAAATTAGGAGAAGGAAAATATTTCAAATTGAACAGAAATTGATATGAAATTTAATTATTGGACATTCTAAGAGATTTTGTAAAACATGGACAAAAATTTATACTAAATTATTACTTTATAACACAACTGTGGTATGCAATAATAACAATTAAACTCGGCCCTTATTTTTGTCACCCTCATAAATGCCATTTCCTCAATTCTGTCATTGTTTGGTTAATATCCTTGAAACTCGATTTTATCACTTCCCTTAATTGTGTCAATACATAACATGATCAAAAACTACTAAGGTAATAAAATGTTGGGCAGTTGATGCAATTAATCAAATGCCCAATACTAATCTAAAAGATATAGTGCACGCGTAGAATGAAGTTTGAAAAGAACCGAATCCTGATATAATTAAACACTGCTGGGTAAAATCACAATGTCTTCTTCCAATGTTGAAATATCAGTCAGTAAACAAGACCTGCAAGTGTTTCAATGATATGGGTATTTTGTTCATGCTACCAATGCAGTGCACTTGAAAATGTTTCCCATGACCAAGACTGTCTGACATCCTATCCTATTCCTTAAATCAGCGCTGTCCAACTTATCATAGCCCGCGGGCCATATTTTCTTCACCAAACATTTCGGGGGCCAAGAAGGTTGATAAACCACAAGACATTTGCATAGTGCTACGGTTCAGTAAGCACTAATTGGTCAGCGAGCCCGATGTTGACGCTATAAAAAGGCGACAGTTCGACACACCGGATATACGTCACTCTCGTCTAAGTTCGACTTGGGAATTTTTTTGTTCAATAATAAATGTGAATTCTTCTTCCTGGAAAAAATAAGACATTCCCTGAAAATAAGACCTACCACATTTTTCAGAGCAAAAATTAATATAAGACACTGTCTTATTTTCGGGAAAACACGGTAGTAAAATAATTTTAATATTAATAATAATAATTTAGTAACATAAATTTATTCATAGTAAAATGTACTCTCGGGCCGTAAAAATTGTTTGGCGGGCCGTATACGGCCCGCGGGCCGCCAGTTGGACAGCGCTGCCTTAAATGAAAAAATTGAAGCTATTTCTGATACTACTCGACTTTTATGATGATGATGAAAACAATCATGGTGAAATAAATGATGGTAATAAGTTAGCTAGAGCTTCTGCAGATGTTCCAACATCTGCAGAATGATGGAAGATGAGCCAACTTTAGACTTGTTGATGATTCGTAATTTCCAATCAAGATTACTCACAATTTCAACAGTAGAAAAAATTATGCATTTTTTTCAGTGCAAATATTTTCTTTTTAGTGTAATTTTCTTTGTTTGATATAATCGTATCATTAAAATATGTTTTTGGACCACCGTATCTACTATATTTTGTTTCATTCCTTTATACATTTACATTTAGGAAACTAGTAGCGGCCGAACCATAAGGCATAGCCAGGGTAACAGAGTGAAAATAGAAGGTGTAAGAGTAGAAATATGTAGATCGAGGGAAAAGGAAAGGAAGGAGAAGTGGTTGCACTTCTCCTTCCTTTCTACTCTTACCCTTCTCAGGAGTAAGAGCCTTCTGGGTCTCAGGAGGGTCTCGGGTACCATTTGTAGAGTAAAAACAACATATAGTTTTACAATGACAATAGGATGCAAACAGCATTACATAGTACAATGTAGAAGTATATAAGGATGGGTGTTTAACATGCATGATGCTACAATTGATACAGGATTGCGAAAATTACAATTATTTAAGTGATTTACAATATTATACATTACTAAATTCGCATACATGAACACACATCATGACAAAAGTTTGGTGTGAAAATACAGGCAAGAGTGACTGCAGATACATAGCATCTCCCGGAAAAAAAAAGTTAAATGTTATTTACAAAGAATATAGTAGCGATAAAGACAGCACTGTGGGGAGAAGACATCACATTACTGATGGTGTTTGATGGTGGGATGAAGACGCTATCCATAGCAGGAGAGGTCTGTTGCCTTTGCAAAGGCAATTAAATTAACACATTGAAAATGGTCCTGTTGTTCACGAGAGTCCTGAGCAGGCAGGGCCAATGGTGGCCTTCTCTGGTTAAAGTGTCCACAAGTCGCTTGCATTTGTTCCTGAACTTAGAGCAAAGGAAGATGACATGATGAGGGTTGTCATCCTCGTTGAGGTCGAAGTCACATTTGCCATCCCCTTTGTTCAAGAACTGCAGGGGGTAGATACCAAAGTTTCCATGGCTGATAAGCAGTTGTGTGACGCTGTGGCACGTTACTAGGTAGTCCATTTTCTGTCTAGCAGAAAAGTCTGAGAAGAATTTGTGAGTGCTGTGACCCGTGTTCTTGGCATCCCAGCGGTTTTGCCACTCAGACAGTGTGAAGATTGAGTTGGTAAGTGGTCCAGCTAGTAGAAATGGCTGCATAAGAGCAGCTGGAGTCGATGGTAGGTGCCTTTTTGGCGAGCAAGTCTGCCCACTTGTTACTAGTAGTGTCAGAGTGGCCCCTGACCCAGTCAAAGGAGATGTTAAGATGGAGGTTGATCAGTTGGTTTAGGAGGTTGAGGGTCATTTGTATAATTGGGAGCTTGTTGTTTTTGTTGACAATTTGCTGAAGGGCGATCTTGCTGTCACTGCAGATTTTGATGTTGATATAAGAGAGTCTATTGTGATTATTGATGACAAATTGAAGAGCTTTCAGCATGGTTGTTGAAGCAATGGGCCTTGAACTTGAATGCTGCTTGATGACAGGAGCAGTTATTATGGTCAAGGGCCACAAAAGCAGTACCAACACCGCTGGCAGACTTGGAACAGTCGGTGTAGATTTGAATCACGTGGATACTGATTTGGGCAGAAGTAGAGGGGTTTGTAGGGCTATCAGCACAAAACCTTTCTCACTAATTTCTAGCCTTATTAACAGGAGTACCTGTTAAAATGTACCTGTTAAAAAAAAAAAGTACTCCTGTTAATAAGGCTAGAAATTAGTGAGAAAGGTTTTGTGCTGATAATCTTAGAAATAGTTCTAGCTACATATGCATAGTAGGTTTGTAGGGCCATGGGTAGGGTGGTTGGGCTGCTGGTTGTAGTTCAAGTCGATGCTGTGAGTGCAAATCTTTTCCCAGATGGTCTTGATGGTATGATATATGCTGGAGTTGTCAAAAATATTCCTGTTTTGCTTGAGAAGGCAGTATCTATGAGATAGTTGTTAGTGATTTTCAGGTCTGGGGGGGTCAATTTGGCAATAACCCAAAGGGTGTTTGTAGGTGCAGTCCTGTAATTCTTTGCAATAGGAATGAGATTCCTCTCTATTCAGAGGAGCTGTCTTTTCTTGATGTGACTATTGGTAGCACCTTTGATGACACAGGTATAGATAGTCTTGCTGGTGTTGGAGTTAAGGCCTCAGAGATTGTGTGAGATGGAGCGCAGAAAGTGGGCCAGGGAGGTCATCTTTTGTTGGATGTGCTCCACATGGTTCCACCAGACGAGTTTGTTTTCGATTAGTGAGCAAAGATATTTGATAGTGGTCTTGTATTTAAATTTTATGGTCATTTATCTTGATATATGGTTTTTTGCTAGGTGATTGTTACGAGGGAACAAGATGTATTCACATTTGTCATAGTTTATTTTAAGATTATGAGAGTGAGTCCAGTTGAGGATTTGGTTTAGATGATGATTCATATTGGACTAAAGGACCTCCTGGTTCTGACATTTCATGAGCACAATCATGTCATCAGTGAAGCCCTGGTTGCTGGCACCAAAATTTGTGGAGGAGACATCCTGAAGGTGGAGCAAGCTATTATACAGCATGAACCAAAGGAGAGGACCAGACCTAGACCCCTGAGGGCACCCCGTAAATATTTGTGGAAATTGTGATTCGGTGATTGATGATAATGGCTGTGTGTTCACTGAGAAAGCTTTTGAACATGTAGTAAATGTTCGGTGGCACTTGGAGTCAATCAGGAATGATAGAATGGCTGGCCACCAAGCGTAGTTGAATGCACCACAGAATTTGATGAAGACTGCGAGGGTGTGTTTATTTTCATTCTTTGCTGACTGAATGTATTGGACCATTTCATGGAGGGTAGAGATAGTACTTCTGTTCCTCATGAAGCCATATTGTTTGTGGTAGAGGTAGTTGATTTGTTCAATGTGATATTCCAGCCTTTTGCCGATGAAAGCATCCAGTATCTTCTCAAAGATGGGAAGGAGGGAGATCAAGTGGAAGTCACTAGGAGAAGAGAAGAAGAAGTGTTACTGTTCTTGGGGATAAGGCAGATTTTTGTCATCTTCCAGGCCTTGGGGAAGTATCCAATCTCAAGGCATTTGTTGTAGAGTACCACAAAAGTCATAGGAATAGCTGCAAAGGCACGTTTGGCCATTTTCCCAATGATGATGTCCGGGCCTGGGGCTTTCCTGTAATTGATAGACTTGAATAGATGGGCAATTTCTGAGGTGGTGAAGTTAGTATCGTTGTTGCTGGCATTCTGGGGGTTTTGGATGTCTGGAGTAGCATCGTTGCAGTTATCAGTGATGTCATTAGGGAAGAGTTTACTCAGAATGTAGTGATACTTATCTTCAATACTGGTGGTGAAAATGCCATCTTCCCTCTGGATTGTGTTGGGAGTAGAGTTACCTCTGGTCTTTTTGAATGCAATATAAAAGGGCTTCTTCCAGAGGTTGGTACATCAGTGGTAGTACAGAAAGCCTGAAAAGAGTCAGATCTTGCTTTGTTGATTTGAGATTTACACTTGCAGAGAAGGATGCAGTAATTATTCCTGAAGATTTTTTTGGTTTGTGTTGGTTTCCCTGTAGAAATGCTGGCTTTTGGCTCTTCTTGTTCTCTTCATTCATTTATAAAACGATGTGTCAGAAATAATTTTTTAAACTTTATTATAAAATTTTAAAATATTAGTTATATTCTGTATATTATATGAATGATATATGTAACTGTAGTATAAAACTTTAAAACAA